GATATGCACATAACACCGCGGATCCAGTTGTGGTCTTAATTTGTGAAACATAACGGCTTGCAAATGATACCCGGGAAGCTTCGAACAAAGAGAACTTGATCATTCGTCGTACGGACCAAAACATCACTGTAATGTCTCGGAGGGTCATAAAATCCAAAGTGTAATCAATTCGGCTCTCTTTAAAAACAGAGCTTTGTGACTTGGTGGACCTCTTGATAAAGACACTGTGCCCTTTTAGAAATAACCCAGAGATAGCCTGCAGCGCTTAAGTTAGGAGAAACAGAATTATCTGCTTGACACTCCTGCACAAGTTGGTTAGTCGCAATAAACATGAATATGAAAAAAATAAAGTCAAATAACGCAAGAAAACACACAAAAGAGGTGAGATCTTAAAGTCAAAAATTAGGGTGTGACAATTATGATTGATATGATGGAAGGGTAGCGGTAGGTTTTGTTGTATGTGTTAGATTGAATGATTGTTTGATGAATAATGAATTGTTAAATGATGTTGCAATTGATGATTAATGGTTGAATTGTTGTGTTGTTGTTGGAATCATATAAGTGATTGTTGTATGTTATTGATGTTGTTTGTGGTATATGATCACAAGTCAGAGTCGTAACAATGTTATGAGTAATTTTGATGAAAAAGATTTGGGGTTTGGGACTTTAGAAATGTGTTTTTTTAGTGTTAAAATTTGTTTCAAACGATTTATAAGAAAAATTGAGTTTTGGGAGGGTTCAAAATTGATTTTCGTGTAAAAAGTTGTAGAAAAAGTGCTTCTAAAGCAGGTGTAATTGGTTACACTAAATGTGATAACCAGTTACCACTTAAAATAGGAAAATTGGATTTTTGGGGGGTGTAATCGGTTACTAGTTTTGTGTTAACCAGTTATATTGGGAGGAAAAATAAAAAAAAAACTTCATAAATTCGTAACTTTAGTTCTGGGTGTCTGATTGACACGTCGTTTGAAGCTGTAGAAAGTTGTGACAACGTACTTTCACTTAAAAATAGTTTTATATTGTTGGAAATAATTTAAATGATATGTAATGGTGTTGTAAGGTGTGTAATTGTATGTTGTGATATGATGTCTTGTTGTAAATGATGAAACTTGAGTGTTGTTGCAATGATGTTGTTGTGATGTTAATGATGGTACTGTGATGATGTTTTAATGATGTTCATTTTAGAATATATGCATGATGTGTTTATGACGAATATGTTGATGGTGACATACACAGTCAGAAGATTGACCTATGTGTATGTGTTGTTGTTGCATGTCGAGAGTCCATGCGTCCATGTTGTCGGAACTTTGGTTCTTTTTGGTGAGCCTCGATCCTATGGTGATGGATCTAGTGCGAGTAGCTAATTCCTATTATTGGGGATTAGTGAAGCGTTACCTGTAGTGATGGTAACGAGTTTTTGTGAGCCTTGATCCCATTGTGATGGATCGGTTACGAGTAGTTAATTCCTGTTATGGGGAATTAGTGAGGTGTTACATATGGTGATGATAGCGATTATGGTGTGCTCCGATTTCAAGAGGGAATCGATCATATGATGGGGATCATGAAGTAAAATGAACCTAAGTGCTCATAATTTGGTACCACATGCATTAAGTCAATGATGTTGCATTGGCATTCTATGTGGAATTCATAATTTTGTTGGTGTTATATGATGTGGTGATACTTGTGAATGTTATGTCATTATATGCGAGCCATGTGATGGAAGTTGTATATGAGTTACTTATGATGTTTGGGGTGTGAGTTCATGATATGTTGATGTTGTTGACTTGTTGCATATAATTGTTGCAATCTATTCTTTCTTATGTCTATTATAATTTATTATGATTACTTAACCCTTCTGTTTGATTGTTGCCTCCACGTGGGCAACGTGCAGATATTTCGGAGTAGCTTGTTGAAGTAAGGATGTTCGCTCATTAGAGCATTTTAGCAGTTACCGCTAATTTAGAAGTGTCTTGCTCTAATATGTAACATCGGGTTGGGAACGTTTGATTGAATGTTTTTCGTTATATCTATGTTGGAACCGTTGCAAGGATTTTTTGATTGTTGAACTATTTCTATTTCAAATCTCTTATGAGACTAGATGTCATGAAATTGAAAGTTGAGAATATTTATTTTAATGACGATTACCGCTGCGATGTTTTTAATATAATGATAAGTTGCATAAATAGTATGAATGTGCATGTTTATGAAAAGTTAATATTATTTCTATAACTCGTGTTACGGAGCAGGACTGATTTATATTTTTATGACGTGTGACACCCTTGTGTGGTGATTCCAATTAAATTATCTGTGAATTCTATATGGGATTTAGAAGGGTGTTACAGGTAGCCAAACAACACCTTCATTTTCTTGCACCACTTGTCGTAGTTCTTTGCATCAAGGATGGGTAAATTTGTAAGGATTCTTTCATTGGAGACAAAATTCATGTTGAATAGAAGGTGTTTGTGGATCTGAACCAGGCTCTATGATGTCAGATGTTGGGACAAGAAACCACAAGATATGTAAAACTAAGTTGGGAGAAATTTTGGAAGTGAAAAGTAAAACGAGAGAGAGAGAGAGAGAGAAAGAGAGAGAGAGAGAGAGAGAGAGAGAGAGAGAGAGAGAGAGAGAGAGAGAGAGAGAGAGAGAGAGAGAGAGAGTGCAAAAATTATCATTAGCTTGGGTGAGAGTACACACTTATATAGAGGTTACAACACAATTTGGATACAAAATGATAAGTAGAGAAACAAGAAACTCAAAAACACATACCTATAATCGATTATGCCAAAATGGATAACCGGTTACACCAGTAGATAATGAATTCTAAAATTAATTCACTTACAGTGTTAACCGATTGCACCAAATCTAATAAAAGGTTACGCATTCGAAAAATACAATTTTCTACTACTTGACATCATGTCAGTACTTGTAATTACACATCTAAAATTATTTTCATTACTTAAAATTCTTAAAGAGCGTTGTTGAAGCACTTGATATCATTATTTATAAAAAAAAATATAACATTTTGATGAAATCAAAGCACAATCCTAAAATAAACTTTTTATATTTATTGAATCGTAAATTATAAGCATTATCCGTACATTCAAAACATATTTAATTCTACCGGTTCATCTTTAGGTAAAAAAAGAAAATAACAATAAGAAAAATATCTACCAGCGAGATCGCACAAGTTAGCTTATAGTTTTTAATAATTTATGAGCGTACTAGTATCATAATATAAGTTTTCCTTATTATGGGCTATGCGTAAACGATTTAAAAGCTGCCAACGGTGAAGGTACTCTTACTTAGAAATTGCTTTTGAGAATGGTAATGTGTCGACAGAGGTACAAAACCTAAAGCAATAGAAAACTACAATGTTAATTTATAAAGTATGCAGAACATCTTTATATGGCATCAGTAGTTCACTCTTCAGGAACAATCCAATATGAAAAAGCAAAAGCAGTATGAAACTGAGATAAATGAAGAGAATATCTGCATTTTGTCTGATAGAGGAGAGCTCCACTGAATACTTTAAGGGCGGCCAAAAAAGTACAACTACTAGCTGAAGAAGCAAATAGGCTTTAAGAGCAGCTTTGAAACTTTCAAAGTATGTACCACATGACTGATGATCATAAAAGTCCAAGCCTTCAACCGTGAAAAGTGTTGGATAGACATGAAATCCTTAGAGAATCTCATCAAACATGACAATGAATTAATGAAGCCAAAAGATATCTTAAGCTGCAATTCAGCCAGTGGTGTTTTGTAGGTGGGCTACTGCCTCAGTGGACACTGAAACTAAGACTGATTTTTTTGAAAAGGAAATTGTTTATTACGAGTGACAATGAATCCAACAATCAACAGAATAGAGATCATTCTCATAGGTAGATAGATACCTTCAAGGTATCATGCTGGCATGGAGGTTGGATCAGGTTCTAGGGAACTACATTTGAATACAGAGCTGGGAAACCAAGATGCAGAATACACACCATTTTTAGTGAGGACTAGACGAGTGTTAAATTACAGAGGTTGAATTCATGTAGCATACTGTGCTGCATATCAAATATGAGATAGCTAGCAACCTAGCTAAATATGTAAATACTTCAGTCATTATTTTTTTGCATTGCATATTTGTCATCCAAATTTTATCATGGATTTCCAGCATTTACACAATTATTATACTTGGTCAGATACAAAAATTGCATTAGAATAATACATTATAGAATCAAACTTCTATTTAAAGCTATCATAAAAGATAAATAGGCACCCCATTATAGAATCAAACTTCTATTTAAAGCTATCATAAAAGATAAATAGGCACCCTTAAGAAAAGACCATAAGAAACAGGTTGATGTTTGACCATTCACAGAAATGACTACAAAAAAACCTGAAAATAGTGAGATTTCTAAGTGAAGCTGCTAATTTGTCTTCAGCAGTACATATCATGTTAACATTAGATGAAATCAACAGTTAACTATATGGTGTAATTATCTTCAAGGATAGAATTGTCAGTATCGACCATAATATTACCATACCAGGCAAAGCATCAGTAGTTTTCATAAAGATGGGATACAAGGTTCCTATCATGGAAAATGAAGTTTTAGCTCTTATAAATCATAATTTTGTTTCCATGAACTAACTCATGTCAAATAGTCAATCATTTATCAGTGGATTATCACTGGATATGAAGTTGAAAACTAAGATAATGATTTATGTTCCTAAAACATGAATACACAAGAACAGCATGCCATGCAATGTGACCAATGTCAGCGTCCAGAGAGATAAACAATACTAGTAATATTGAACTATATTGAACTAAGACTGCTCTGGTGAATTACGTTTGTAACGAAGTGTTATAAAACACGAAAACCGGGTCTAAATTGTAAAGACTTAATTACATTGGCTATGTAATTTGCATTCATGTTCAGTAGTATCAGAACTCCAAATAATCTATATACCTATGTTATTGATTAAGAAGGACAGACTTCAGAGTTTCAATAAATATATCACTGTCCCCTTGGCCGCTTCTTACCTTGAGGGATCAGGTCGTATGACTGCAAACTAACTTCAACATCTTCATCATATTCTATTCCAAGCTCTTCCTGCAATGTTCAATTATATTAGCAGTGATAGCAATAGGCACAACACAACAATAAAAATAACAACTAGAGTAGTGACAGGCCATGAAACAAACCTTAAATTCTTTGGGATCCTTAGGTGAGTTCTCAGTGAGGGTGTCCCATAAATCCCTGAACATTCTTTTGCGCTTCCTCCACTGACTTATTTTCTCTGACAATATTTTCTCAACTAACTCACATTCTTCTGGCTTCACCAAAGTAACACCTCCGCGTAACTTGTTCAACTTAGTCTCCAATTCTTGAACCTGAAGCAGAAGATAACACACAAAAACTATGTCTTACTTGAAACATTACAAATCACCAACTCTATTTCAACAATGTGAAAATGCACATTAACTACCTCCATTCTCAGGTCCACTTCTTTTTCACAGATCTGTTCCAGTGTTAAATTTGATTGCAACGATTTAATTTCTGCATCAACAAGTTACTTACATAAATCGCAAGAATCATCCGTTTCAACAATAGCCGGTACCTTGAACAAATTTCCTACTAGATTGTTGATTGATACTTAATAGAGTCAAATGAAATCTGATAAAACAAAATGAAATGCAATAATACAATAACTACTATAATTGAAATTGTACCTGCTTCGACGTCACTAATAGCCTTCTTCTGATCTTCAAGCTGCTTTTGCAGACTGGCATTCTGTTCCTTCATCTGAGCGAGCTCTTCATTATTGGGAATTTCAAATTGATCTTGCCGAGCAATGTATATCTTCTGCTTACCATATTCCTTGAATGAAATTTTCCCTCCATCAGCAAGATTGTCCAAAGCTTTCTGAATCGCGGTCTTCTTCAGGTTGAACTTTTGCAATGCATCCGCTACGTTTTGCGTATTCAGTGGCCTATTTTGCTACTCAAATTTCAAAACAAAAAAAAAACATCATAATAACAATTCAACCAATTTTCACCATAGATATACTAGAAATACGAAATCAACAGAAACTGCTGTTTTTAAAATTGAAAAAAAAAACAAAAGAAGTGAAAGTTGTTACCTCGTTCACGAAGTTCAACACAATCGCTGAAATTAAATTAAACAGACGAAAAGAAGCAAGAGAGAAGATCAGTTTGTGAAGGAAACAAAGAGAAACAGAGAGCGATGTGTGACGGTGTGATGAGAGGAGTACCTTCAGCGCTATCGGATTTTGGAGCCATTGCTGAGATCGAGAGAAATTGGGCGGGAAAAATTCCGAAGCCCCTTTTGTTTTGTTTTCACCAACGCGAGCGAAGTGGAGATTGCAAATTTGACAAGGAAATGAGTTTCTACGACGTCGCTTTATCCGGTTAATGTATGCAGAAAGAGTTGATTAATTTTTTATTTATATTTTCCTTTTATTACAACTCGTACGGCCATATCTGTTGAAAGGTTTTATGTTATAGACCGTAAAAAATGATAAAATGATAAAATAGATATAATTTAAATTAAAAAAATGATAAAATTATAAAATAGATATAATTTAAATTAAAAATTTGTATTGGTAAGTATAAGAAATTGTTGTGTCTTGGAAAAGAGTGAAATAAATTAATTGTTGATATAAATTTAAAGAATGAAATGATGATTGAAAATAGTAAATAAAAAATATTAATTAATAGGTAGACCAAAAACAAATGAAATTAAAGTTAGATTGAAATTAAATAAAAGTAAGAATTAATTGTGTTAGATAAAAATATTATTTATTAGAATTGATGTTTTACACTTCAAAAGTAAATTTATGCCCGTTTATAATAATAATAATAATAATAATAATAATATGTTTTACGTATATAAAATAATTTCAATCAAAATTAAAGTTGTGCCCGTTTATAATAATAGTATTTTTTTCGTATATAAAATATTTTAAATCAAAATTAAAGTTGTGCACGTGTATAACAATAGTATATTTTCATATATAAAAACATTTAAATAAAAACTGCAGTTGTGCCCATTTATAATAATAGTTTTTTTTCATATATAAAATCATTTGAATCAACATTAAAGTTGTGTCTGTTTATTACAATAGTATATTTTTGTATATAAAAAAATTTGAATTAAAATTAAAGTCGTTATCATTTATAACAATAGTATTTTTTTGTATATAACAATTTTGAAACCAGAAAGAAATAAAGTTGTGCCCGTTTATAACAATAATATTTTTTTTCCGTATATAAATAAATTTGAATCAAAATTAGAAGTTGTTCCCGTTTATAACAATAGTATTTTTTTAATATATAAAAAAATTTGAAACAAAATTACAATTGTGCTTGTTTATAGCAATAGTATTTTTTTCGTATATAAACTAAATAAAAATATTAATTATTGAAGAATATCTATATATACTACACAAGTATATGAAGTAGTTCTCGATTATTGAAGAATATCTATAATAAAATATTTGATAAAAATTAAAGTTGTGCCCGTTTTAAAATAAGTACAATTTTTTTAAATAGTTACACAAATAATTGCATAATATTTATATGTACTACACAAATATTTAAAGATATTAATTATTGAATTTAAACGGAAATACATCAGCAGCGTAAAGTCTTCTTTATGCTGTTAGTTAATCATAGTCGTTAAATTTTAATAGATCTTTGTCTTTTTCTTTAATCATATATAAAGTATCACTTGTAAATGGTTATCATGCACTGTAAAATATTTTACACAGACAGTGCATAACAATTATTCTCTTAATTATTTTAATAACCATCAAAATTCAATTGAAGAACATTGTGATGTTAGTATTGAATAAAGAAATAGAAATAGGAATCACCGAAATAATCTAATTGAAGTGCACCAAACAAGGATTATAAGAGCATATATAGGATACTTGAAATAGTCTAAGGCCAGTAGTATAACACCATAGAACTCAAAGTGACAATCATAGTCTAACAACATAGAACTCAAAGTGATAATCATAGTATAACAACATATAACTCAAAGTAACGATCTCATAGTATAGCAACATAGCATAACAACATATGAAAACATTTATAACTTATATACATTGAATAGAAAAAAGAGCTTATGGATAAGCACTTTTATAATAAGTATTAATGATTCAACAGGATCATTCCAAATTCTAACAGAAGAATGCAACCTCTGTCTACATTAGAAGAGTCCTCCTGATAAGCCAACAACTGGAATGAAACATGGGATCCCATCAAGTATTTTGAACACATCACCATCTCAAATCATACATAAATCAGTTGGAAATCAATGTGAAATTTCTGAATCAAGTTCCTCAGGACAGTTAAATTTTAATCCTCAACATGAATTAGTTTTTCAAACTCGTCCCTTCTTCGAATATCATCGTAATGATGTACACCACAACCTTATTCTCAAAGTTCTCTGCTTCGAAGCGAGGATAAAATTTCTGAAAAACGAAATAAACATAGACCTTTAAGCAAATAAAGACTTTATTTTTAAAGGAGAATTTAAAATATAATCCATGTGACAAAGACGTATAAGAATAATATCCCATTAATAAGATTTTGCAAATTTATTAATAATTCCACGTCAAACATTGCTAAAAAGACGAACCAAGAGGACTATAGGGTACGATTCCAAAACCAAGTTCTCTATACCAACAAAAGCTTTAAATAAACAAAATCTCATTTTAAAACTAACACAATCGAGATCAACTTATTCAAACTTATATATACATACATTGGGTCATTCAGACTGCTACTATCTACTTATTAAAGGTTGAGACTTTTACTTATGGGTAGGTTCATAAGCCGCAGGAGCTCTGATGAATATTGATAAGCTTCATTTTCCAACAGTGACACCAACTAATGGCCCTAACGTTGTACACATTGTTGCACCAGAACAGTTTTCTACTCATTTATCTCTCTGTCTTTTATGGCAATTGGTGTCCAATCATATCTATGCCGCATGGAGATGACATGTAAGCTGCAGAGAACAAATTGAGTGAACAAAAAAAACAACGGTCAAGAAAGAGCTCATAATAACCCATCAAAAAGAAAATATGCAGAATCTTAAGGTATTATGTAAGACATATTTAACTACAGTCCAACCCTTCAAAAAGAAAAAAAAATAGAATTCGGAAAAAGTAAATTACAACCAACTTAGTCTTATAATATTTAGAAATGAGAACATGGTGAAGATAAATGTACCTGATGAATGGTATGGGATCTCAGATCATCACAGTTTCACTACTTGGTCGAATAATAGGAGAGATTTACATGGTAATCAAATAATAAATAGCAGAATATAGTGAATTCAGTAGAACTATAAAAACTATGAACTACCATTATATCTTACGCACAAATAAAAATCATTAAATCAACAAAATTATCATTCAAAAATATGAAGTCTATATCATTCAAAGTGCAAGTTTCACAAGTGAAAGTTTCATATTTAAGACAACTAAAACTCCTGACTATTGAAGACAAAAAAGACACTTTGAAGTTTTAATAGTCAAATTTAAATGCCCCAGCTTACATGAAGTTACTCCAACCATACGGTGTTACATCATCATCATCTGAATTGAACATAGTTGTCCTTTTTATCCTTCTTCTTGATCTTCTAATTCTTCTCATGATTCATCTTTTTTGCAATGCGACCACCTGTTGGGTCTGGACAGCTTCTTTAGCCGGTACTACTTGTTGGACCTCTACAGCCGCTTGGACCTAGTGAACTTGTTGGACATCTACAACCTCTTGGACTTGGTGAACTTGTTGGACCTCGATAAGTTGTTGAACATCTGAAGTTTGATGGACTTGGATAACATCATTGGAACTCATATTGATTTTTCCTCTTCAATGATGTTGCTTGTGTGATGCTAAGAAGAGGAATAACGTTTTTATAATGGTTTCTCTGATTCTTCGTCTTCTGTTTACATTGAAAATCTAAAATTTTTTGTTGGGCTGTCATTATTGCTTGGGTAGTTCAAAAACCATTGTTGGTTATTGAATAGTGATGGTCAAGTTTATCATTCATATTTTAATACATTGTTATTTAAGATGTGGAATTAGAAATCAAAATATTTAATAAAGTAATTATGGGCCCAAAATATATTTACATAAGAAGCGCTAAATAGATTTCAAAGGCATAAATAAAATAATTATATTTGATATCTATATACATTACAAATTAAGAATTTCAAAATTCTCAATTCATAGGATATTAGAACGGGAATAGGGAGTATATTCCTGTAACATGCATTAGAATATTAGTTTTTGAAACTTATCATATATGCGTGCATATAAACAAATTAGAAATAACTGAGGATTTTCAAATCTGAATTTGAATTGTAAAATAAGATCGCAAAACCAGTCATCTGCAAAAGGAATATATTTGTGAAGTAGAAGAAATAAGTAACCTTTGAGGGTGAGTAGATTGAGGAAAACTTCAAGAAAATGGAATTCCATTTGTTTGTATCAACCTCGTTGATAATATGCACATTCTCCAATCTTATTCCAAATGTTCCATCCTCGTAGTATCAAATTTGTTGTTGCTTCTGAAGAAACTTCGAAAGGGATGTGATTTCGTAGGCAATAACATATAAATGGTTAAAAGTCAGTTTCGCGATTGAATTAAATATGATTGATAGTTTCAAAACTTTGGTTGTAAACAGAATGAAATATAGTCAACAATTGTGAAACAATAAGGTAAGCATTTAGCTTTTGCATGTTTTCAAGGTTTCATTGTTGAGCATGGAATAAAAACCTCTTTATCACACATGAATAACAATGATCTAGAAAGAAATAACATGACAAAAGATCAGGCATCTTTTTACAAAAAGAAAAATAAAGTTTATTTTCTATTTTATAGAACTTCATTGTTGAGAATGGAATAAAAACCATTATGCAACAAATATTTAACGAAATAGAAACAAAAGTCTGAGACAAGAAACCTTCTTTGGTCGTGTTAGAGAAAGTTGGATGCAAGCATCGTCAAACATCCCATTCCTAATTAGTGTTTTGAAAACAACTTCCTTAATCTGCAATACATGTTACAGAAAGCATCATAATTTAAAATGAGGTAACAATCAGAGTGATTTGTGATGGATGAACAGAAAGCATCTTCAGACTCACCTCATTTCAAGTTGGAACGTTTTCAAAAGCCAAAGCTTTAAGAAAAACTTAAGCACCAGTAAAAGGATGGATTCTCATAGTAACATTCATGCATGATTGAAAAACATACCATACAC